ATTTATAATAAAATATCGATACTTAGAAATAAGGAGAGAAGATTATTGAGTTTAAAAGAGAGAACCGTTTTTAATTAGGACAAGTTTCACTCTCTCTTATAAAATTTAGGCAACCTCCCATACGAGGTTTTGCATTTCCTTCATGCGCGGTTTTGTACTTTAAACGAAGATATGTAGAAGTATTGCATACATATTTTGGTGCCTTTTCAAGTATAAAATCCACTGAGAAGCGAAAGAAAACGGCATCCCTATGATTTCAACTTATGCCAAACGTTTCGTAAACAAGCAATTCTGAACAAAAAACTGTTTTTCCACAAAGATGTTTAAATGGAAGCATTACAAATATAGAAAAATCGCAATCCACAAGGCTTTATTGGCAGTAGGTCCTTTTTAAAGCACATTTAACAAAAAAATAAGCTTATAGTTTCGAAGCTAGCAAAAAAAAAAAATTTTTATTTGTTGTTTACAAAAAAAATATTGTCAAGTATACAAGTCAAAATTGTTAAATATATATCGCTTTCATTCATTTCTTCATAGAGTTGGTGCTTCTTTTATCGGAAAATTCATACGGCTTATGAACAGATTCATACCATGAAAATGCACCATAAATATTTCCTCATCACCAGCCGACATGCAAAAAGCCGTAACTGACAAAAATCGCTTTGTATAAAACGATCTCAGGACTTGTAATTCGACGAAATGCATCATAACCAGGGCCGTAGAAAATTAGCTCGAAAAAATCAATTTTAAGCGCTTAGATAAGCACTAAAACATTGGTAAATATGCTCGCAAAACAAAAAAAAAAAAAAATTAAGTACAGTTTAATGTTGTTTATATTCAGTTTATTTCAAGGATTGAAAAATTCCAATGGACATACAAGTGTTGCTCGATATTAAATATCAATTTGTATCCACGCAGAAATGTAATTGAAGTTACGGGTTAATAAAAACCAATGTTAAGGAATTTTAATAGCTTTTTAATAGATAGACGCTGACTTGGGCTTTTCATATAGATGCATTTATAAAACGATTTTTTAACAAGACACCCAGGGCTAGGCAACGAAATCAAGCGCGTCGCCAAACCATTCTTTAGATTTAATAAATGCCAATGAAGCAATTTCGTAATGGACGGAGATAATTAGCGAAGTTTTTTGGTTTCGCCACAAATAGCAAAAAAAAAAAAATAGGTAGAATCTAATGATGGTTTGTTCTTACATTTTCATGAATAGAACCTTTTCCCACTTTCCTGGTACTAAATCGTAACCGAATGACATCTCCCACACTGCAAAAGCCAATAGGCTGCTGGCTGTTCTTGGTTGTACTGATTTTACATTCAATCATCAGATTTAAGTATTTTGGAGAAGTCATCAAACAATTTTATGAATATACATATGTATGCATGTGCATATGGGTGAATTAATTCTAAACTAAATATAAATATAAACTTGTAAAATACGTACATATGTACATACATATATAGTATATATGCAGTTGAATATTAAAAATAAAAAAAAAAAACTCGCATTTACTTACCCAATGCAATTGTAACATTTGTGCGTTGTTTTTAAACTTTGCTCGGTTTTTTGTGACATTTTTTTATTTTCAATATAGAATAGTAGTTTCATTATTCATTTATATGCTTATGTGAATGGAATCGTACTATGTATTAAGAAATGATAATTTATTGATCACTTTTTTTGTTGGTATCTTAAGTTCATTTGAATTGACGACAATTTGTTGCACAAATTTGTATAGTATTTATTATTTAATATATTTTTTTTTATTTGTCCTTGCTTACATATTTAAATTCAGTTTACATCTTTGTAGGCACAGTTCTAAAACAATATGAGAGATTGGGTAAACATTCCGAACTTATCAAAAAAGGACACGTTTTCCTATTCAAAAATCGAACTATATAAAAATTTTGCGGTGATAT